GCTAACTGTCTAGGAGTTATTGCGATGAGGTTTAATTTGCACTCGGCTTTTAAACGAGTTGCTGCTGGAGGCACTGACACACGTAAAACCTGATACGCCCTCACCAGCAGCAGCAGCAGCAACAGCAGCAGCAACAGCAACACCAGCAGCAACACCGGCAGCAGCAACAGCACAAACACGAGCAGCAACAGTAGCAACAGCAAGAGCAGCAACAACAGCAGCAACACCAGCAGCAGCAACACCAGCAGCAGCAACACCAGCAGCAACAACACCAGCAGCAGCAACACCAGCAGCAGCAACACTAGCAGCAGCAACAGCAGCAGCAACAGGAGCAGCAGTAAGGTGGGTATGAAGTACCAGTCTTGGTTTATAATCGATGATGATAGCGCAAGAAATACAAAAAGCAACAAAAAATTTAAGAGGAGACAGCAGAAAAGAACCCCCGACGTCGCGCACTCGAGGGATCGAACGAAAGCCGACAATATGTTGAACCTCTAAACCCTAACAAATAAATAAATAAATTAATTAATTAATTAATTAATTAATAGATAAATAAATAAATAAATAAACAAATTGATAAATTAATTAATTAATTAATTTATTAATTAATTAATTAATAATGAGTTAATAAATAAATAAATACATCAGTAAACAGACAAACAAATTTATGTAAATGATGCATGCAAGAGATGCGGGTATTATTACTTCGAGTGTATTTTTACTGTTATTATTATTCAGAATCAATTATTAATAATATATAATATTATATTTTGTCCTATTATTATAATATTATATATTATATATATTATATATTGTATATATTATATATTATATATTATATATTATCAATAGATAAATAATAGGGTAAATAACGAAAGCAATGAAAACACTGATAATAATACGACAATAAAATAATAACAATAATAATAGCATTAATAATAAAACAAAAGCAATAAAGCAATAATAAAACAAAGTGTAATAAAAGAATTACTTCAATACTTTTGTTCGAGTGTATAAATCGCAAGGCCTGCGGTTTGCTTTTTCTGTCGTTGTCCGCAGACACGAAGAGACAGCGAAATCTTCTTAAGTCTAAATAATCCAACAAACGAAGTAATTCTGATGTATGTCCCCCTGTACAAACACATAATATATAATATATATATATATAT